TGTATTACTGTGTGTAGACTATATCACTATTAGAAAAAAAATATAATTTTATCATAAAAAGAAAATTAGGTTGCTTTCTAATCATGCTAAGTAGTGAAAAAATACATCACACAACAACTCATAGAACACTGAGAAAAGTTCTGATGCTGTTAATATTTTTTTTTATTATTAAATTTGTATGTAACAATGAGAATAAAGTAATAAAATATAATAACGATATTATAATGTAGTTTTAGATGCCAAAATATTAGAGTGTAACTCAGAATGATGACTAACCCATGTGTCCCCTAAATTGTTTGAACAACAGTTTGTGTTATTTTATTTATCACTTTTACTTCTACCATAGTCGTTCAGGAGTTTTGATCTTAATGATTAATTTTGTGAAGAATAATAAAACTAAGTAAAACTAGTTTGTTTAAGTCGTATAATTAACTTCCCGTAGGGTAGTTATAGTAATGGGCCGAAAATCGAAAATGAAAATTTTCGCATATATATCTTCATGTTTTGAAGGCTTCTGAACATTTTGGCATGCCTCAGAGAAATTAGATTAGTGTGTGTGTTTTGTGTGTCCGTATTTTTTCGTTTACGTTTTCGGGCGTATGGATCAACCGATTTGAATGGTTCAAAAGCATTCTATCCCTATTGATAGGGAAATGTGCTGATTAGTTTTTGGCAAAGGCAGGTCCGGCCGTCACGGAGATACGGAGCAAAGAGTGCAGAAAATAGAAATCGAGGTTTTGAGAGAACGGAGTATCCGATTTAAATGATCCAAAAAACAATCAATTTGTAATGATTGGGAGAAGTTGTGTTTAGTTTTTGGCAATGGCAGGTGCAGTTGTTTTGGAGATACTGAGCTAATTGCAGATTTTCATCTAAAACACAGAAAGGAAAATTATTTGTCTGATGAATACTGATGTAGACTGATTAGATGTCTAAAATGCGATATACACACATATATCTCTTGAAATTTTGTTCATAATTTGCAGGTCCTTTTTCAATACACACACACACATTATATATGCATTTATAACTGTTTATGTGGTATTTGTGTTATTGTGTATATAATCTGCTTTTATAACTTTTTATGAAAAAAAAGGACTATTAAATTAATAGAATCCTCTACAACATTAGTATCATGAAATTTAGATTCACTCAAAAATATTTTAATAAATATATGCAGTTTTCAATTTTTTTGGGACGTCAGCTTCTGTTGGTCTCGCACTAAATATGAAAGATTTTATCTGAATCTTTATTAAATCTTTATTAAATCTGAACCCACTTCTGAAATAATAAATTTGGTTCTCTTTATTAGAATACGATGTTCTCTCAAATTGTAATATTACACTTCTATATGACCACATTCGACTTCACAGTAGGAGAAACTGGGTACGGTTGTGCCACTTTTTTTTATCTGCAATGATTTTGTTAATTTAAGAGCTAGTTTGATGAAAAGTAAATTAAATGGTAATTTGAACATTGCCTTTGATGTCATTCTGAAATACTGTCCTCAAATACGATGGATTAATCATAGAATCAAATCCGATAAGAAGAAGGCAAGTGTCACAAACGTTCTGGGGGTGTGGCATGAAAATAGGTGAAAAACAATAGCTATAAAGTCAAAACAACATAACATAATCATTCAAGTAATGGGCTTATGAATATAGTATAACAATATTTAACAAAACATCAATTTTTAAATAAAGTTAACAAGACATCTTTGTGGAATCTCTTTCGTATTTTGTCTTAGCCCATTGTAGGCGGGCCCCATTTTATCGACTATTTCCTTCTTTTAAAATAATTTAACATATACTTACAGAAAAATAAACTCATTTAATATCTCCCCGTCCTTGTTCAGGAGCGTTTTTGTCGAAAATCTATCGGTCGGTCTTATCAGTGCAAAACGCGCAATAAAACCCCCAATGAATATTAGATGTCGCATTACTTTTCCATCGCTTTTTCACGAACAACGGAATTATCGCACTCCGGAAAAACTCTCCTTACTTCGAAGCGCTAAGACTTTCCCGGAAAATGCATTTCTCTATTTTCTTTCGATTTTCTCCTTTTCAGTCAATAGTGTTCGAACGCAAATGTTGCTGATGTTTTCTTCGAGTTTCGCACGAATCCAATTAGAAAAGATCAACAGAAGATAAATACTGGTAAATTACACCAAAGGAGAGGAAGAAATCTTTAACAGTATCATGGATTTGCCATTGAATTTCAGGAATCAGGTGCTGTATTTAGGAAAAATAAATCGATAATAAGAAACTTTCGCATTTTTGTAGGTCTATGATATTTTGATAAATTAAATTAGGATTTTTATAGACAGTTGTAATTACTTAATGAAATAAAATAAATAAAATATAAATTAGGGTTGCAAAGATATTTTGTAGTTCAAGTTAGGCTTATATATTTTTTTGTATAAATTAGTAATAATCAATTCAGAATTGATGAATTTTTGCATTCACCTTTTTATTGATTATGTTTTATGTAGAGTTGATATGCTTTTTGAAGATAAATTCTAAGTGCATCACAATAATTTGAATAAATTAAATTATAAAAAATCTTAAATCGTGAGAATTTAGGTCTGAACTAAACAACAGTGCTCACAACCAAATAAAAAAAAATTTTTTTTACTGATTTTCAAACATTGCCAATTATCTCCCGATAGCGATGTCGTGAGAATTAAGATGATGACTGGATATACATTTTTTGCCCTCTACTTTCAAATACTGTTGTTGAGAAATTCTTAACTTTTATATGTCGGTGGTAGACCTTTCTTAGCGCTGACCTTTATGCCCAGCACTATACTATATAGCCACTCATTGAAACATTCAGTCTTAATGATTTTTAGCATTTTTTAACTAAAATTTAGAAAAAATAATGTGCGGTGCTGTTTTTGTAATTTTGTAAATAAAAATATTGCAAAACTTGTAATTGCTTTGGTAAAACATTTTCGAGCTTTAGATGTTTCTTCAAGCGATTGATTTGAACAATACATTTTGATTCCAAAATTCACAAAAGCCTAGATATAGTATATTTAACTTCCCATGGGGTAAGTTATAGTAATCGCGAAAAATATCGGAAATGAAAATTTTTGTATTTCTTAAAGTTTCAAACGTTTCTGAACATTTTCGCATACCTTAGAAGAAATATATGTATGTGTTTTTTTGTATAGCGAAGGTAATGCATTTATGCATCTCAGACTGGAACATTAAAAAAACATTCGATTCATATGGATATCGAGACATACTGTTTAGTTTTTGGCAAAGGCAAAACTAGCGGTTTCAAAGATCCGGGGCAAAAAGAGCCAAAAATAGTAATTCAGTTTTTGAAAGGACGGAGCGTCCGATTAGACATATGCCCATCAAGTTATCAGATATTTTATAGAGATTTTAATAATGTGTACACATTTTGTGTCCTTTTTTTGGTTCTCTACCAAGTTTTTTAATTTTGAAGCTTATTTATATAGTTCAAACAAATGTCCTCGACATTTTCGACAGTGTGGAATAACCGATTTGAATGATTGAAAAAACATTCGGTTCGTACTCGATCGCAAGGCGTTTTTGCAATAGACACATCTTGCCGTTTCGGAAGTATCGAGCGCAAAGGTAATAAAAATGGTCATGCAGAAGAGAACGGATCATCCAATTAGATTAATTCAAAAAACATTTTGCTTTTGTAGACTGTGTGAAAAAAGTGCTTTCACAGAAAATTTTGTAATTTTAAAAATTTTCAATTTAAAATTTCAATTTTTTTGATAATTTCCAAAAAAACCCCTAAATTTTGAACAATTTTAAAAAACTATCTAAATTATAAAAAATCGTTTTTTTACAAAAATTTTAGATTATTTCGAAATTTACAAAAAAAAAATTGAATATTTTCAAAAATTTTAAAAAATCGATTCGAACTTATAAGATTTTTTCAAGATTTTGAAAAAATATCAAAATTACCAAAAAAAAATTTTTTTTTTAATTTTTTTAAAAAAAAATTACAATTTTTTTGTGAACATACACATAACTTGTTTGTAGAATACGTTCGTCGCCCAATTTAACAAGCGCTTATAAATTTACAGTATTTATAATAAATAATCTATTTGAAAATATATAAAACAATTGTAATTAATTATTTAATTTTCATTGATAAATTGATTATGTTCATTCTTCGAATGTATTTAATTACGGTACGAAATGTTTCATCAATTTGCCTTAAGGCACGATGCCATGCACCACTAGTTATAAGTGCATTCAATTCATTGAATTATTTGATCAATACATCTAAAATAATTCATAAAAATCTTTGTAATTTCGAACATACTATAATTTATTACACCGGATTCGTATGCAACAGAACCTTCTTCCTCTACCACACCAGTTTGCAGAGTTTCTCTTCCATCTAACTCACAACAAGAAAGGTAAAACGACTCGAACAGTTAGATTCTACACATAAGGCACTGAACAACTTTATATTTTTGGAAATGACTTGAAGCGTGGGTCATAAGCCTCGTTGGCAAATAATTAGAAGTTCACTTCGAAAATCTATCTTATTTCATAAAATTCGATTTGGAGTCTCTTCAGTTACTCTTTTTGTGTAAAATATTGTAGAGAGAAAATGTTTGCAGCGGCGCAAACCAGTTTGGAAATGTCAAGTGAATGTGAATACAGCCTCGTGTTCTTGCTTTGAATTTAAATCACGGTTTATGAAAAAATATATGCGGATAAACATAAGACACAAGTGTATCAGAAGTGCATTACTTGAATATAAAAAATATTTTTAAACATGTGTAAAAATATATTTTAATTTTTTAAAATAAAATTATTATTATTAAAACTAAAAAAAGTATTTATTTGTTGTGGTTGCTGTAATAAGCAGTTTGGAGCTTATTAATATGTTACAATTTACTAAATAAAAACGCTCAACTAAATTTTTTATATTTAACCAAATATGTTTTATAAATTCTATTAAATAGTTACCGATTTAGTGAAATAATATTATTTATTAAAATGTGTAGTTTAGAATTGAAATGTGTGATTTTATCAGTGATATTAGGTTTAGTAAATGCAGGCTATATACCACCAGGACCAAGATACACATGTCCAAATAGGTAAAAAATATATCTAAATTATAGTTTAAAAAACATAAATTTAACCAATTAACCAAAATAAATATTAGTTAACTATCCCAAAGATTTTATATCAATTTAAATATTAATCTATATTGTATCATATTCTTTTAAATCTAATGTAAAATCAATCAAATCAAAATCAAGTACAATCAATAAAAAATTTAAATTAGAACTCAGAGTATTTTAAAAATCTGAATTTTAGGAATTTCAGTAAATGCCTTAAATAAACAAATAATTTCATATTGTTCTATTTTATATTTTATATTATGTATTCTATATTTTCTTCATATAAATCAGAAGCATTAAATGTGATTTAAGAGTATAAACTTGAAATTCTATATAAAATTATAAAAATGTATTTAGGATTTTATTAATAATACTTGAACTATACAGTAGATTTAATATTTTAATATTTATTGTTAACATTAAACTTTCTTCTATCCTATATAACACAATTAAATATCAAAAACTATAAATTTGAATTTAGAATCAGAACCTTAAATTATAAATAAAATAATGATTAATTAGGCTTTTGTAGCAAATATTTAACTGTGTAATTGATTTTATATTATTGTAAATATTAACCACTTCATTCTCTATATTTTTCTCTATTAATTCTAATACTGTACTTTATACTGTACTTTATATAAAATACTTCAACATTATATTTTGAATATGAACCCAAATTCACTAAATTTTATATTACTCTAATTACTTATTATTACATTTTATATATGTTCTTCTTACATAGTTTTAAATAAAAAAGTTTAAATATAAATTAAAAATATAAACTCCAAACAATATACAAAATTATAATCCATATAAGTGATTCTTAAGGTTTTTGTAAAAAATGCTATACTATACGATACATTTTATATTATTCTAAATATTAGTAATTAAATTTTCTATATTTTCTTCTACCGAATCTAACGCGGGTTTATATGAAAAATTTTAAGTTTGTCTAAAAAAAAAGTCTATAAAATCATGATCGATATAATTATTTTCGCTTTTGTGAATAATATCTAACTTAAAATGATTTTTATTTATTCTAAATTTGAATATTAACCATTATTTTATAATGGTATATTTTTGTTTCTATTCAGCACAAATTGAAAAACTAACTTTAAAATTAGAATTGAACATGGAATTGCATATATAATTATTATATAAATAGTGTAATTAATTATTTAGGACATTGTTATATATTCAATTTGTCCTTAATTTTAATGTAATTCTTTATTGTCCAGAACATTTGGTTTAAATATATTTCCATTGAAAATACTACTAATACTACTAATTTGAGAAATAAAGAACCGGTTACAATAAGATTTTGAACGATTAGTGGAAAAACGAAATTGAACTATTTTTAAAACAGTATTGAATTTTTTTTAATTACTAGTAGTTTAGGTTGTGAAATTATCAAAACAGTATTAAAAGTCTGCTATAATAATTAATTTAATTAATTTAATTTATATAATTTATTAATTAATTATTTAATTAATTTATATAAATAATTTAAGAAATAATTATTGAACTATAGTAATAATGAACTATGATTTAACCTGATACGAATGTAGATATAAAGTTCTCAAATATCTAACATAATTCCATTGAGTAAAATGCATTTAGTATAGTATTAGTAATAACATTTAAAATTTTACAAAATTCATATAAATAGCGAAGGCTAAAACGCGCGTGGAACACTTTCACTTGTTCCCATGCATCGTCATAAATTCTGCTGAGATGACTGAGAATTATTTAAATAGAAATGTATAATGGAGAAATAGATTATAATTATTTTGTCGGAATAAACACTGAGAAATAAAAACAATAACACGCGTAAAATCATTATAGGTGACCAAAGAGTAGTGGAGACTGGGTACGGTAGTGCCACTTTTATTTGATCAGCAATAATATAGTTAGATCACCAGTTAGCTGGGAAAAGGAAAAATTAATTTAACATTTGTCTACGTGGAAATACTGAAATACTGTCCTTTAATAGTAGATTAGATATAGAATCAAATCAAACAAGAAAAGAGCGAGTGTCACAACCGTCCACACCCCAAGGACCGTTGTGTCAGGCATAAACGTAGGATAAAAGTAAGGTGACCATTTTTTTTAGTCAAAACCGGGACGGCAGTTTTTAGTTATGCTACCCTGGGACGGGAGAGGAGGGTTTATGCTAAATAACTTAAATATGATTTTAAAATAACATACTATATAAGGATACAATATATTTTATATGTATCTTAGATTTTTCCATCCATTTTCGCTTTTGTGTATTATGGAAAATTCTGTTCAATTTACTTCATAATTAACTTGACAAAAATAGCTTTTGTTCATTAGTTTACACAATTGTTATTAAATTTGTTAATGTGAGATGCTATTTAACCCGCCTTTGGAATTTTATATTTTGCATATTTTTCGTTCATAACGTATTTATTCATATAAGCCTGCTCGTTGTCTTGTTATTTAATTAACATGTTATTGCAAAGATTCAATTTAGATCTAGATTTTTCAAAAACCCGGGACAATCCTGGACAAAAGATCTAAATCTGGGACAAATTTTGCTTTTATAAAAACTTGGGAGGTATGGTGGAGATCCGGGGCTATTCCGGCCAAACAACCGTATTTAGTCTCCCCTGTCTACTAGTATATAAAAATGTTTTAACATAAATAATGAAAATATATAATATAAATAATGAATTGATTTTAATCAATATTTGAACTGATGATAATATAAATAATTTTATAACTTAGAAGCATAAAACCATGAATAATAATATTATAAACTAATATTCAATATTTTCTAGTCTATTAATATTTCTTAGCTTTTCACTTTTGTATCTACCTATATTATTTCAATATAAACTGTATACTACATTCCCATATAATAATGTTTCTTTATAATATTGATCTTATACTTGTGTTCTTGATAATTTGAACTTTAGTATTTAAAAGTAATAAACATGTAGTAAGACGTACATAGAATAGACAACATTTATATAGACATATAGTTTGGATTAAATAAGGCAAGGTAATAATAGAGAACACAAAAATTACAATAATATATTTCTAAAGAATGATATCATCATTAGTACAAGATGAGTTCGATTCTAATCCTTGAAATTTACCCACGGAGCTCATTGATCTTTAGTCATGTAGTCACATTTATTTTTTGGACAAATTGTTGGGATTTTATGTACTTAATACGGTTGATCTGATTGTGAGTAACATATATTTATTTGGCTTAATTATGCGCGGTTATAATAATATTCTAAATTTTAGATAATACACTCAAAAAATTAGTAAAATAAACAGTTCAGTTTGAATAAATATTTTTAATAATAATTTACAAGTAATTAATATTCAATAAATATAATAAAATATTACATATTTGTAATTTTTTATATACTTTATATAGTGTATGGCGAATCACAAAGGTCCAATTAGATATTAAGCAAAATTGTGAAAACCAAACCAATTGTCGCAACAAATAGCACATATCAGACTATCTAACTATGTTCAGTAAAACTCACAGCGAATTCATCACTGCAAAAATGTATTTTTTTTAACCCTTAGACGAGGTGAAAGGGGACGGCAAGGACGCAGACAGATCCAATGTCTTAATTTTAATTTTGAAGGAAACGAAATAATAGTCACATTATTCAACTAATGCACAATAAAATTTTTACCTTGATCGGGAATTTGTTCAGAAATATTCATCAACAGAGTTGGAATAACTAATATTTTAATATATTTCTTGTAAAATGGCTTTTTTAACAGAATCTATATTTTTATTCACTTTTTTATTGTTTATGCTTTGCCAAGGTAAAATGTTAGTTGGTCCTGTTTACCCTACTCACATGTTAGCTTTTATAGAAGTTATATGAAAAAAAAAACTGTTGAATCTAATTGAAAATTAACAATACATCTTATAAACAATTAAATAAGGTATAATCAAAAATTATATTGAAGTATGGTAAACTAAACAACAGTGCTCACGACCAAAAAACTAACATCAAAAGAAAATACTTTTGTTATGAATTTTGAAACATTGCCGTTTATCTGCCGGCATCGTAAGAATCAAGGTGGTGGCTAGTTACACATTTTTCCCCCATACTTTCAAATATTGTTATTAATTTTTTTTAACATTACTTATTTTTGAAGAATCCGCGGTGAACCTTTTTACCCGCTGATATTCAAGACAGCTCTACCGTTTACTTAGAATCATTTATTTTAATATTAGATATTATAAATTTAAATTGCAAACGAGTTAGCTATATGGAACTTTAATTATGAATATCGTTAATTTATAAGGATAATGCATATTTCCGATGTCAACGTCGTCTTTTAAATATATAATCGAATAATTACATCAAAGAAAGATCATATATATATATATATATATATATATATATATACATATATATATATATATATATATATATATATATATATATATATAGATACATATATATAATTTATAATTTTGAATGCATATGGTACGTTCTAAATTATTAAATATCTTTCATCAATATTTTATAATTTTTTGTATGTTATTCGTACTAAGATAGATACTATATTTTTATTTAAACAAATGAAAATAATAAACTATAGTAAATAAAATCAAATTTTAAATGAAATAGCTGTTCCATAACATAACTTTGCTAGAATATTCAATATAGGCTTTGTAAGCTTCTAGTGTAATGGAAAACATGGAACTATTTTATTTATATATTTGATAAATATTATTTATAGTTAGATATATAAATATTCTTAAATGTTTTCTAATCGATATATTACTTCTGCTCATCGTCGCTTTTTTGAAGGCAAAGCAAACGGTTGTCCTATCTATTTTGATTTATTTTATATTAGGAAGAAACCCAATTTTAGTTTTTTCTAATAGTAATCATATTATATGGAGATATATAATACATATAATATTTATGTTTTTTATAATATATTTATGGTATTTATAATATTTGTCCTCTCATTTAGAACCCAGCTCATTTCGCCTTGTGTCTGTTTGGCGGGTGGTGACGATGGACTAAAAATTCTTTGCGAAAACTCCAACATAGCTTCCATGGGCGTGGGTCTAAATAATTTGGCAACATTTGCAATGCCCGTTGAAGAACTTAGACTAAACAAATGCCATTTTGGTTAGTAATTTTCACATAATGCTTTACAGAAAAATAATTATAAATTAACTTCATTAATTATTGTTTAATTTATGCAGAGCGCATGTATGGAAGTCTTTTGTACAAATTAAAATTAAGGATTTTACGAATTGAAGACACGCCGATTCAAACTATTGATCAATATAGTTTTCTTGGAGTCAATGATACTTTGCAAGAATTGTATTTGACGAATACTAGTATTCATACGTTTCCCAAAGAAGCATTTCAGGTAAAATATGAAAATTATTGATGTAATGATAATATATTCATTTAGCAATAATTTGGTAAAATATCCAACTGTAGAAATTAATATTTTAACATCAAGAATGCATATGGCAAATGCTACATATTTAGCAGTATGCTGTTCACATAGTAATAGTTTGTGAATACAAAAAAATATATTCAAATGATTTGATTTATTCTGCATAATTTTCTAATCATAACTGTCTAGTTACCATATAAGATATATGAAACCAATATGAAAATAACATATTTTAATATTGTCTAGGTATAAAACTAAACAAACGAAATAATGGAGCATTTCTTATTTGAGACTCAACCTGTACATAAATTTATAATTTACTAGTTAAGTTTTTTTTTATATATTTTCATGTGATAGATCTAATCCATGATTTTAGCAAAAATATTTTTAAATTATATATATTTAGAATTTCTAGTAATAATTTTTTTTTAATATCTATGCCGCACATATACTCGTTGCTGAATAAAAGTTCCAGAATATTATGAATAAAAATAAAAAAACCTAGGCTATTTTGGATAAAATATATTAGTAATTGTTAATAATAATTAAGAATTAATAATATGATTCGCTTTTTAATATCAATGGAATTTTTCAGAATTTAGTATAAGCATTAGTATTTCCCACGAATAACTTCTAATTATTTAAATTTCCAGATTTTAGGTAACTTAACAGTGCTAAATATAAGACAACATAATTTTACCAAGTTAGAAAAAGATATTTTCTACGAAAGCAGAATCAACATCAGACTTGAAAAACTCCATATCACAAATGGACCACTTTCTGACTTTCCAATTGAAACATTTCAGGTATAAAAATTTTAATCGTGATAATATTAGTTTATTATTAATATAATTTATTTAATATGGAAATAAATATAACTAGTTGGTATTGGTACATTGCCTTGGCAAATTTCATGAACTTTCCGATATAATAATCGACTTAATCTATAATAAATAAATTAATTTATCAGTGATTTCAAATTTTCAAAATTCAATATTTTTTTATAATTGAACCAGTTTCCGTAAGACTATAGTGCTTTAGTATATTTATTAAGAATAAGTACTCTATCGCTATACCAAGTAAATCGTCTAATTATTATTCAATTAAACGCCAAAAAACTACTCATTTTCTCAAACTTTGATGAATTTTGAAAATTAAACTACTTGTCGTAAGGCCGTAATAATTCAGTAAGTTCTATAAGATCATGATATATATTGCCAAAAAAATCCCACTTAATTTTTTTCAACAGTTAATTACAAGAAAACGGCTCCGTAGATTTTTACCTAAAACTAATAAGTATCATTCCCAACTAATATCTTTCGAACAGTTTTTTATTTTTTAAAATCGATTCGGTAGTATGAGCTTAAATGCAGACAAAAAGTTTAACACTTTTTCCCAAATTACAAAGAAACGGCTCGGTAAATCGTCGCACAAAACTGACAAACGATAGTCCTCATTGAGATACATCAAATGGCTTTTAAATTTTCGAGACCGGTCCAGCCGTGTTTGAGAAAACGTCGATTTACGGCAAAAAATCTGTTCACATACAAATTTGGTCTCATTTGATTCAGAATGGCTTGAAACGTTGAGGAAACATAAAATTAACAAATCGGATTTTTTGATGAAAACATAAACTTCGGAAAGTTAATCAAAGAAAGTGTAAAATATGATCAAGATCATCATGCAGATTATTATTCATAGTTTTATTATTCATTGAGAAACAACTTATTTGGCACATTTTCACATTCGAGGATTGTTTGGTTTAGAATTCGATCTAGTTTAGTTACTCATCAACTATAATTTTATTAGTATTTATGAATTATTTAAAATTGCAACGAATTTAAAATTGTAACAGCTCTATTTTTATTTCAAATGCAAACTTCAAGCGCGTTATATGTACTTGAACCCATTCGCTATATTGTGTTGTTAAAAATTTAAAAATTGCTTTATTGATAGACCAGCTAAAACAATTCATATCAAGATCACAAGGTTATCAGACCAATAAATATAGTTCCTTTACCCATATGATTACTATCTCTCGGTTTCTCTCTGTTAACGATGCATTTATGACATTCAATTCTCCCTTAGCCCCTAAGGAAGCTAAAGACGTTGGACTTGAATACAAATGCATTAACAGGACTCAAAAGGAACCAGTTCAAAGGACTTCGGGACGTGGAAGTCCTCGATTTGAGTCACAACAGTCTGCCCAAGTTGGAGGCGACCGCCATCTCTGATCTTACCAAATTGAGCTGGTGCAATTTGTCACACAATGCGATGACTGATTTACCGAGGTAAAAAAATAATTGAGTGGAAAATGATCTGTTGATAATAAATGTATGATATTGAGCCTTTACATATAATGCGTTATAGACAAATACACCCATCCCCTTCCCTTTACACGGAAGATAGTTTCCATAAAAACCGCGTAACTCCAAAAATTCACACTCATATGGAAAAACCGTGCTAAACGAAAATCACTATAAAAGAGCCTTTTTGACAGTTTTTAATACGAGGAAGGACAAACATATAAAACAAAAAGAGTGCGCGTAAGGTTCACACTCGATTGAAGTAAAACTTATTTAAGTAAAAATAAATATATCATATAACAATTTTGAATAATGTTTTTTAGTAATATGGTAACACTCGTGATGCACGCATTTATTAGTCTCAACCATTATACACAATTATATAATGATGTATTATAAATTATATATTTATAATAGCATTAAAATTATGTATAATATTTAAAAACAATAATGTAATTAAAGTTGTACTTCAAATATGACATGATCGGTTTGTCATTGTAATTAGCTGATTAATGTTAAACAACGCCTAAACAAATATTATTTTCGCAACTTCACTTATCATGTAATTGTGTTTGAAGAACTTCATGTAATTAAAATTAACATTCATTCATTGACTGATTGTACTTTTTTTCACTTTTTCGCTAGCGATATAATCTCATTCTTTGAACAGCTACAATATTTGTTTTGCCTAAAAATATTTTTCATTTTTAAACTTCAAAGATTTAGAGGGCTCGCCTGTAGGTCAGCGGTTAAGAGCGACGGGACTTGTTTCAGAGGTCCCGGGTTCGATACCCACTTCGAGCAGCCTGTTGTCAGGCAGCAGTGACAACGATTTTCACTTGAAAATGTAGATAGCAATATGTTTCCAAGTGAAAATAGCCCTTAATCCGGCATTGCTGCTCCAATAAAATGTCAGCCCTATTAGATTAATTAATTAAGGGGGACAGGGTAAAATATTCTTCTGATTCAGAAATTTTTCATTAAATCAAGATTTGTACTACGATGTAACTTTAAAATGTTTATTTATCTATGCCGATTTCCTTGTTGATATCGACACGCATACAACGTTGATGCCTGTACGCAACACATCACATACCCGACGATTAATCACAATCGACCAGTATAGAAATGATATCACCGAGAGCGAATGACGAATCATTGGCACTCGGCTCTTATCTTATCTGCCGTAACGCACTTTCGTTGCGTTTGTACGGATTTACACCCTAGTCGCGCCTAAAAAAGTTTTACTTCAAGAACGTAATTAATTTATCATATATAATCAGGTGAATATAGGGTTGATATGAAATCTTCAGGAACTTTAAAATTGAAAAAAAATACTCACTAAAAATTAATGTTCATATTCACTAAAAAAATTACAATTCACTAAATTCACTCAATTTAAATTAATTAATAATTTTATGAGATATATTTGTTTATAATTGATTGAAAGACTAATGACACTAAAATCGAGAAGTTTTAAGTTCAGAAAACTTGTTAAAAAGAATAATTGTTCCCGTAGCTTTTGTCATTTTCTATGATATGTTTTTTTTTCAAATTTATATTTGTGATATTAATAGAGCACTACTCATTTATTAAATAATAATATAGTCAAATTTAAATAATTTATTACATTTAAAATTTCAGGGGTACATTCGCCAGAAACGCTGTACTTCGAGTTTTGAATTTATCACATAATAAACTGAAAAAATTGGATACAAACAGTTTCCGTGGTATGAGATTTTTGAGGTAAGAATAATTTATATATTTGTAAACTTATATGAAAAAATGTTATATGAAATTTTCATACATTTACACTTCCAATAAGTTTTACTTCTACAGTCACTTGAGAAATGGACAAAGAATTCATTCATTTATTCATTCATTTTTTTTCTTAAATATGTTCTTTAATATAATATATAATTATTTAAAATAATTTGACTAATAATTTATTATTTTTAGGCGTTTATATCTAAATGATAATCAAATTGGAGATGTCGGTCGTGGTACTTTTGGATCGATCGCCAAAATTGGAACAATCGATTTGGCACGAAATAAAATTACTAAAATTGATTATCAAATGTTTTTCCAACTGAACTTCATCGAGGTAACTTTAGATAAAAATCTTCAAAATTCATGATACATATATTATTTATTTAATTTTCATGTTTATCCAGATTATAGATGTATCAGAAAATGCAGTCACGGAAATTCAAAAATTATCTTTCAAAGATATTTATTTGGCAAATATAAATTTATCGCACAATGCAATATCCAATATAGAAGACGGCGCTTTTGAGAATTGCGCAAATATAACAATATTGGATTTGTCATACAATAATATCACTGCCATTCCAAGGAATACTTTTGATCCAACGACATATGCAACTGAACTACAACTATCATATAATTATTTGACTAATATGTCCCAGGTAAAGTTATAATTAATAAACCAAGTTAACTTTTTTATTGCTATATCCAAGGGCCGTTCGTAGGGCAGTGGTAAGAGCCTCCGCCTTGCAACCATAAATTTACGAAGTCGAATTCAAATACCTTGCTATGTACAGCTTGATATCACGTTGTAGTGATATTAATTTTTACTTGGAAATATAGAACCAAATAAATGTTAAAATAGGTTTTTGAGATATTGCTATAATACATTACATAACAATTAGAAGTGTATAATTTTTTTTTCATAAATAGAAAGGACAATCATTGGATTGTCTTCAGACTCTTCATAGTCTGTAAATTTAGTATTTTGCCGCATACCAGAAAAATGTTATGGCAAGACCATGTTATGAAAAACTTTCTATACAATATATTGACAAAAGCCATGTGGTTGGTGTGCAGTCAGGCGCATTTCTCAGGTTGTCAGAAAACCTAATCTAGAAACCGCACAAATGTCAAAAAACGATCTTAGATAACAGGGTCTTTCTGACTCAGCTCCATAACATACGAGTGACGTTGCAGTTTATGTGTAGAACGCATGAATGCGCAGCAAATACATGACATTTTGTCAGTATTCATTATGATTCAGTAGCATAATGTACGGAAGTTGGAGCGTAACATGGCCTTGCCATAACATTTTTCTGTTATGCGGCAGAATCGGTCCCTAACTCTTATCATTTATTTTTAGATTCCTCTGCACAATATGACTGGTTTAAAAATCCTAAACGCTTCACACAATCTTATAGAAATCATTCCACGAAATACGTTTCCCAAACTATACGAGTTGCACACAATAGACCTTTCATACAACAAAGTGTCATCGATCGCAAATGCAGTTTTACAAACACTGTTTTCCCTTAGAAACTTATACCTCAGTCACAATTCCTTGGAAATAATTAAACCTCCGACTTTTGGAACATTACCAACATTATTAGATATGGATTTGTCTTACAATAATATGAAGGAAATAGCAAAAGGAGCATTCACAAAATTGACGAGTCTCAGGACATTAAATGTAGAAGGAAATTTGTTAAGTAAAATGTTTACTGTACCGATTTCTTTGGGTCATCTGAAGATTGCAAATAATTTGTTAGAAGAATTGCCAGAAAAGACATGGCCTAGCATGAATTCCATACTGTCTTTGGATTTTAGTGGAAACAAATTTGAAAATCGATTAGTTCATGGAAGTTTTTCAAATCTTTTAACTTTACAAAGACTCAATTTATCGGAAAATGGAATATCGCAAGTGCCTTGGGAGAGCTTAAGCGAATTGACCGCTTTGCAGTATTTGTATTTACAGGTAAGAAAAATTAAATAAATAGTTTTATTAATATTGCATAATCGAAATGATAAAGAATAATATATGATCACATGTGAAGCTAAAATTTTAAATTGAAAATATAATAAAATCTATGCACGTCCACATAGCAGATATTTTTAAAGAGACGTATCGCAGATTTATTGTAAAATATACTTTACCACTTAAAAGTTTAAAAAAAGAGTGCGCGTAAGGTTCACACGCGCTTGAAGTAAAACTTACTTGCTACTGTACAAGATAGCATTTAAGTAAAAATAAATACATCATGTAACAAATTTAAATAATGTTCATTAGTAATATGGTAACACTCGTGATGCACATATTTATTAGTGTCAACCATTATACACATTTATATAATGATAAATTATAAATTATATATTTAAAATAGCATTGAAAATATGTATAATATTTAAAAACAATCATGTAATTAAAGTCATACTTCAAATATGACACGTTCGGTTTGTCATTGTAATTAGCATTTAGAAATGAACCTTCATTAGAGAAATAAAGTAATTGGTGATAATAACTTTTATAATATTCGTTCACACATTTATCTTGAACAACGCCTACACAAATATTGTTTTCGCAACTTCACTCATCATGTAATAATTATGTTTAAAAAACTTCATATAATTAAAATTAACACACATTCATTGACTGCTTGTATTTTTTTTTACTTTTTCGCTGGCGATATTATGTCATTCTATGAACAGCTGTAATATCTGTTTTGCCTCAAAACTATTTTCCATTTCAATAGTTTAAAACATTTATAGAAACTACGAGTAATATAGAAATTATTTCAATAAACTTATATTTCATACACGGCGCAAATGCTGCATTTGTTTTATTATTTTCATTATAATTATTTACGGGGGACAAGGTAAAATATTCTTCTGATTCAGGCATTTTACATTAAATCAAGATTTGTACTACGATGTAAATTGTAAATGTTCATTTATCTATACGATTTCTTTGTTAATATCGGTACGCATACAACGTTGACACCGGTACGCATACTACGACAGATCTCTATTCACATACGCGACGACTAATCACTATCGACCCGTATAGGACTTATATCATCGAGAGCGAATGACGAATCATTGGCACTCAACTCTTATTGTATCTTATCTGCCGTAACGCACTTCCGTTGCATTTGTACGGATTTACACCCTAGTCGCGCCTAAAGAAATTTTACTTCAAAAAATCAACATGAATAAAGAAAATTAAAGCAAAATAGTGAACCTTCAAAAAATAGAACATTTGTGACTATCAATTTTACAAAGCTTGGTTTATATGCATAAGCAAATTTGTTAAATAAAGACATGTACCGCACATTCATTGAATATGTAAGACCGGCACTATACAATTTTTTTTATTTTTCAGAACAATAATTTGACTCGGCTCCCCAAAGCCGCATTTGGAAGATTGCCAGTAGTTTTCGAGTTGGATTTATCACACAATAATATCGGAAATATTAGGTAAGCATATATGTGAATTGCATACAAATAACGAAATAAATATCAAATATATCTTAATAGAAAATCTTATAAAATAAAATTACTGACATATTTCCTATATTTTCAGCATTCATGCATTTGACGGTCTGCTCCAACTTTTAAAACTAGACATGTCTCATAACAAAATCCGTCAAATACCAACTGGAGCATTTAGAGGATTGGTATCTTTGAGAACTCTTCACTTATCTCACAACAAAATAGAAAAATTGGATAATAAAACAAATAGTTTATTCGAAGATTGTTTGTCTTTAGAAAACCTGGATTTGAGTCATAACAAAATTAGTTTTGTTACAAGGAAAAGTTTTCCGAGCAACCCGTATATTCCGTACAGATTGAAAAATTTAGATTTAAGTTACAATTCTTTACCAATTCTTACATACGATTTGACTTTTGGAACAAAGAAATTGGAGAAGCTAAATGTGTCTCATAATATGATTAGTGACCTGTATAGAGGTAAGATGTAGGAAAGAGCAATTTGCTTAAATGCTAATTAATATTGATATATGTATGTGTTATTTTTTCCACTTTCACATTCACTAGAAAACTTATCAATTAGTTTTACGAACATATTAAATATAGTGAACTTTAAATAAATAAACGTTTCCTTTATTTCCAGGAGTATTAGGCAACTTGACTTCACTACAAACGTTAGATATGTCTTTCAACATGCTAGAAGATTTAATTTCTGAACCAAATGCATTTAATCTGCCAAAGAATATAACAAACTTGATTATGAACGACAATAAAATTATGTTTTTGCCAATAAACAAATTTATAAATGCAACTCAATTGAAGAGTTTGGATTTGAGAAATAATGTGATCAACCAGTTTCCTTATGAATTTGTGCAGCAGATTGATCAAGGGTTAGAAGTCAAATTTGAAGGTAAAAAAACAATGTATAGAAACCAATGATTTATATAAGTCTAGTAAAATCAGAAATAATGAAAAACACTTTGCAATATTTTACCTTTTGGCCAATTGGCACATAAGACCTGATCTTATGTATTTGTTTTAATGCTAGATTATTTAGATAATGTAATTGTGTACAAATTATACTGCAGTGATGTGAATTTCGAGCTCAATTTACTAGTTCAACTTTTACAAAGTTGGCCAAGATATTTTGGTACCTGTTGCCCAAAATGTATTCTATTTAGTGCACTTTTTAGGGTTGCACTTTAGTTTTACCATCAATGGTACCTAGCTCTTAGCTTTTCCTAAATTTTATTGTTTTATTATTCATGTTATATTTTATTACTATATATTAGAACAAATTAAAAATGCATGTGCAATGATCATCGTCGTCTTATTTGTTGATCCTCGATGCAATCATATTTACAATGTGATCTTGTACATTGTTCTTCTTATTGACCAGAGATATAATGGAAGTTAATATTAGGGGACAGTCCCCTAGTGACGGACACCTAAGGTTATTTATAAATAATTCAAAAAATATTTTACGAAATGTCTATTAAATTATGATTTATGTTAGATAACAAAGTTAGAAATCAAACTTAATTAACAAAACCGCAATCTTTGCTAAAAATAATTAATACAATCAATCAAACGTTGGTATCAAAAAAAATGATTTTGAACAGTGGCACCTAGTACCGGACATTTTAAAATAACCTGCATTGATCACATATGTAGGCATCTCCACACTCTGGAATGTCTACACGTGTGTCTTTGACAAATAATCTTAGATATTGCAAAAAAGTCACTATTCATCCACCCTTTTGGCTGGGCCACACCGATGCTCTCAGCTGGTGCATTCACCATAAGTTTTTCATTCTTCGACTAGGAAATACGAAAAATGGGGGTATATAGTGACCGCTAGCACTTATACAGAACTAAATTAAATAATTGGAAAAAATTACGTATATTCTCACAAGAAATATCAATATGTTTACTGTCCGGCACTAAGGGACGACTTAGTGTCCGGTGCTAAGAGACAGACATTTTCGTACATTTGATGGCACCTACTAAAATTGGTTAAAAGATCTAATAATATTCTACCATTTTACGGATAATAATCAAGTACAACTTTTACCTTTGCATACCACTCAAATGTAAATGCATAAATATGCTAGAATTACTTCCATTGATATTTAGGTGATGCCGTGATTTTGCGCCTAAAACAGAAAAGGGTTGCTCTCGCCGTCACAGACGAGGCTTGGCGCGTGATCCTGTGCCCCCAGTGCCCCTTTCAGTTGTATTTTGAATTGAGAAGATTTATACTTGCTTAAATAATACGTGTTAAATAGAGTGTCTAGTGCTTGGTGCCGTCCGGCGTTACGGGACTTCCCCCTACTGATTTGAATTTTACGACAGTGTTAAAAATTGAAAACAAACACATTAACTTTTGTCCATATAGAGTTTGCTTTCCTCAAAGAACGTCTTCAGGCAGTTTTTTTAATATTAATTTATATTTTTTATATTTTAGGTAATCCTTTAAAATGTGACTGCACAGTGAGGCCTTTAAAACATTATTTGCTGCGACAATCTATTTTGCCGCCAGAATATGAAAATCTAAATTGCCAAGAACCTAAACATGTAGCAAATCAAGTTTTAGCAAATATACCAGATGGTCATTTGAATTGTGTCAATGGATCTCTACCTCAAGTAACCAATATGACACAGGCAGAATATGATAAGCTCTTCCAGATGCAACCTGATTTGAAATTTAGATATATTCAATTGTAAGTAGACCGTGGAAAAGTTATTAGAAAATAATTGACATTGATGAATACTCGACAACATTTGAAATAATTTACGCCATCCAGATTTGAAATCAGAGTTACTTATGTCCTTAGACCAAATATATCCTTGATATTGGTTGTGTACTTTGCTAGATTTTTTGCTTTTTTATATATCAGATAAAATATTTCATAGTATTTATTTTTTATCAGCATACGTCGGCAACTGGAAGCACAATGGTACATAACGTCCAGAGAAGACGTCGGTGACGTCCACATAACAATTCGGGACAAGTCAAATGCCTTGGTCTACTCCCAAATAATGCCTTATGATGCTCGAATAGTAAAGATAAACTTGGATTCAGATGAAGCCATCGATTTAGCTAGAAGTATCAGATCAGAATCCCAATTACAACTATGTGCTTTAGCCAGAGATAGTTTGGATGAAGTCAGATCATGGTTTCCTCAACAGTGCCAAGATTTGCCAACCAGACAAATTCGAATGTGGGATGCCAGAAGTAAAAAGACGTTGATTATCTTTCCTAATGAGAACTTTGTGAAAAATTCTTGTTCGGGAATCGCAATTAACTGGACCGTTGGATATATGTTGATTGTTGCTTTGGTATTAAGAATTGTTGTCTGAATTAGAATTTGACACTGCAAAGCAACGTATTTGTTTATACGGAAAATGATGTCTATCAAAATATCATTCATCGAAATTTATAATTAAGCAAGACTTTCAAGTGTACTTTTGCACAAAAAGTGAATTTTATGAAACAGCAATACTATTTAAGTATAAACATTACAGATATAGTGTGTTCACCTGAAGACTAATTTATAACAGACCAGATCCTGGTGCAGTTTTGCCATCAAAATTGGTGGTAATAGTATGCTGAAAAGTGGAATAAAACGTAAAAATGAATTAGTGGAATAAAAAATCGTATTGGAGTATTAACATCGGATTTTGTTTCTCTTGCATGATTAAAATTTCCATCTATTGCTATATTAAATAAACTAAATATGAGAAAACTTTCTTCATTTCAACTGATATCTTTTTGATTGGTGAAAACTAAAAATATAACTAAATTCTATGTCAGTAACAAAAATTTACTTGCCAAAGAACCGCATAATTAGCAATAATAATAAAACGCTGCTTGACTATCGCAAATTTATGTTAATGGATTTTAATACTATATACACCTACTTATATTTTTGTGAGCAATCGATGTAAGAACTAAAGTAAAATATATTAAACATATATGAAAAGTTAATTGAAATTTTTTAAACAGTCGAAATACAGTTACCTGACTTTAACACCATATATATTGTAAAACATTATATGATTTATTATAAATATTTGTTTTTATTTATATTGCATGTTTTTATTTTACCGTAAGATAAATGTGTGACATATTGTGTAAAATATTTAATGACAAATGAGGTCAATTAGAATAATTGTTAATATGCAATTGTTGTAGAGAACCTTGTATACTCAACAATCCTACGTTGGCGGCAATTAATCTAACTGCATACTAATTAGAACGAAACACAATATGCGTCGAAATGCTGGAATATCGCTTGATAAATGATATGTATTTATTTAAAAACGTAAAAACGTAAAAAATTATTTGGCTATTAATTCAAATATGACTACGTAATTTACATCAATATTTAAATTCCTGTAGGGTAAGTTATGGTAATCGCAAAAAATTGAAAATAATTTTCTTTATTTACGTTTCAAATTATTTACGTTTCAAAGGTTTTTGAACATTTTGGCATACTTTGAAAAAAGTGGATGTACGAGGTGTGTTCAAAAAGTACCCGGAATTACTAATAATTAAATTTCGCGGGTCTGGAGTGTCTGATTGTCAAAATTTTTTTTTTATTGTGTTGGTATACATGCCCCTAAAGTATGATGAAATTTTCAGCTATATTCACTGTTTACTTTGTCTGTGGTAGTCGCTAAGGTTCGACGTGTTTTTCTGAGCTCGGCGATTTTTACAATGGAAGAATTGAAAAGTCAAAGAATTTGTATTAAATTTTGCGTAAAAAATGAAATAAAGTGTTGCAAAGTGCAAAAATTCACCAGATATGGCTCCGTGTGACTTTTTCCTATTCCCAAAGTTGAAGAGACCCATGAAAGGACGGCGGTTTTCCTCGATTGAAGAAAATCGCTGAGAGTGCTCATGGACATATCAAAAAGTGAATATCAAGGGTGCTTCGAAAATTGGAAAAAACGCTGGCATAAGTGTATTATATCTGGGGGGGACTACTTTGAAGGGGACCACATTAATGTAGACGAATAAATAAATATTTTTTTGAAAAAACGAAAATTCCGGGTACTTTTTGAACAGACCTCGTATGTGTGTATATACTTTACATTCTGAAAATTTTGGTATACCTTAGTACAAATGGGTGTATTTGTGTGTATATGTGCGTATGTGTGCGCGTGTGTGCGGATACAATTTTGGTCGACGATTTCGAAAGGATTAACCGATTTGAATTATTAGTTTTTGACAAAGGCAGGTCGGGCCGTTTAGAAGAATCAGAAAAAAAGTTTTTAAAAAAATTCATTTTATCAGATCCTTTATAGAGAATTAAATAATGAGTACAAATGTTTCCATTTTGGGTTTCATACCAAAATTTTTAATTGTTCAAGTTTTTGAGAGAACGAATAATCCAATTGAAATGAGTCCTAAAACATTTTGCATGTGTCATTTATTTACCCTAGGTAAAGTTCCAGCTATTTTCATTAAGGCACAATGCTATGCACCATTGGTAATTATATTGGACATAAACGTACTACACCACTGAATCAATATCAATTTCTTTGGTATACGATACTTTACACATAATATTCTTCATTTTGCATCTGTTAAGGATCGGACATATACTAACTTAAAAATGAGCTATGAAATATAAACTTTTATGTCTATTAAATTATGATTACCTACGTAAAATAAGAAAACATAAGAAAAAATATGTACGAATTGGAACAAACTATATATAGTAATCTAACGCAAAAAAGTTTTATAATACACTACAAGAAAAGTTTTATAATCTACTTAAAAGAACAGTATCATTTATTTTTCATTAAGCACAATTTTTATAAAGCTGAAATTTATACATTTTCATTCATTTGAATTATTTTGCGAATAAATCTTTGTTAAACTTTCTAATTTAATTTTTTTGCACATTTTGCTTCTTGGTTTAAATATTCAATATTTCTGTAAAATAATTAAAATTGGTAACATTCTTCTAAATATGATGATGCAGACTGCTCGATGCACTTCATTTCATCTGTTGCTAATTAAATATAAAGTAATAAAATTTTCTTGTTTGTAATGTTCAAGTCGATGTATACATTTAGGTCGCCTACTTGCTTTATTTCAAAGATAGTTTTATACAGTAGACCAGTGATTCTCAAAGTGTTCCATATGGACGACATCTATAAAAAAATTCGGAGTCTACGAAATGGAAATAGGGTCCGTAGTAGTGTATTACAACATACCATGTCAATATATATATTTAATTATACTATACTATCTATTATAAACAATATACAATATTTATAATTGGACCTAGAAAGTAAAAAAGTACATTTCTATATATTTCTGAAACAGAAATCAATATTGGGTAAATAAGGGGTCCATGACAAGCCCTAAGGGATCGCGACGCAATATAGTTTGGGAACCTATGCCTTAGACAATGAAGAAATTATTTTAGCTCATGATAAAGAAATAATCTTAGGCAAAAACCTTTAAGTGTCGTATTTTTTAAATTTGACTACAATTTTAACAATTTTTAACAAATTATTAGCGTACTACTAAAATAATATTTATACCTAAAAAATCTGATCACAATTTGAATTTACCCACAACTAACATAGAACAGTGGTGCTACTTTTCAATTTATTTTATTGATTTTTTTTATAAATGAGAAGATATAATTTTGGGTTAAAAGAATAATAAATATCCAAATTTGAATCGATAACATATTCAGAAGGTAATATAATCTAATCAGGAAGAAAACCAAAGGTTTATTAATAAAATGTTAAAAAATATTTTTCATGACATATTTGCTACCAGTTCATTTTGTGTGTGTTCATGTTGAATTATTTGATTACATTATTTAATGCTCGATTGGCCTTTGTGTAATCAAAATTATAAATTAAATATTTAAAAGAGTATCGGATTATCTCTAGAATTATCAGAGAAGAATTTCAACTTCCACGTTTATGTTATCATTACAGAATCGTGAACTTAACTTGTTGTTACATTCAACAATGCATTATGATTAATATTTAACACAATGCTATTATTATTTTTCTCCACATTACCTATAATTCAGGATACTATATTTACCAACCGTTTTGATGAACTTTATAAATATCATTGTCTCTTAAGAGGAAATGTTGCTTCAAAATTGAGACAAATTCCTCATGCTTCGAGTTCTTTATATAAATTTAAAATACTAAATAATTATCCGTCGTTATCATCATTTCAATATATTAGTATCTCTTAGTAATAATACAATATTGATACTATATCTAAAATATCCAAAAACTAAGACTTTTCATATACCTTATATCCCTGTTGCTACCGAATTATCTACTTAATATAAAAGCAGACATACAAGTAACTGTATTTAATTTAAAAAATTAAAAAAATATTTTAAACAGAAAACGTGGTTTGCGAATGCAAAATTTGTATTCATATTCAACAGCTTTCATAAACTAACGAAAAGCAAAAACCTTTCATAAACTTTATCAAAGTATGCTTATTCAACTATGTATTAGCAAGATTAATTTTATGTTTTTAGTAACGTGTATGCATAAAAATCTATACAAATCATATATATATATATATATATATATATATATATATATACATATATTATATCAGATCATAGTTATTTACAGTGTTATCTCTGTAAAAAATGCACCATACACCATGAAATTTATATTTTGCATTCGTTGAATAATGTAGCTATTATTCATTTTGTTAAAACTTTTTAAAATTAAAATAAAACATTGGACCTGTTTGCAATCTGGCCGTCACAATTTAACCCGTCTATGGGGTAAAAGGGACCAGGTTACATTTTTTTTAAAAAACAGTAAAGTAAACATATTTCTGCAATGATAAAGTAGCTGGAAGTTTTACTAAACATAGTCAGACAATTGTTTTTTTTCATATGTAGTGTTTGTTGTGATATGGTTTGCTTTTTCATAATTTAATTGCTCAAAGTCAAATTGGACCTTTGTGCTCCGGCCTATCTTCACATATACTTTTTATTGTTGAAAATTAATTAATTTAATTAAAATAGATATGTGATACCTTCACCAAATGATATACTTATTTTGGAAATAATTTAGCTGAATGCTAACAAAATTGTGAGGCGTTTTCGAATTCATTTATTAAGAATATAAAATAAAGTTGAGCAGATTTTGAGCCCATTCATTATTCATAAGAACGTGGTTGACTTCGTCATTTATTTTATTATTTCGTGCAGGTATTTCATGTTGATATGTTTGCAGGCTAGGCACTCTTTCTATTATAAATCACAGAATATTTGAATATATATAACCGGTCGATTTTACCAGGTGAATCAATCTAAGAAAAAATGGTAAAAGTCGCTGTAACT